TCCTGCTGCAGTGTGGAGATGAACTGAGGGGCTGTAAAGAGACTGATTAGGAGGGATAGTACTACTGTAATCCAGAAAGGTCTGATGTTCACATTAGAATGCTATCATGTCAAAATGATAGCAAGTGGGAGGGACAGAAGTGGACGGATTCAATGAATATTTAGAAGGGACAAAGGGAGAAGGAGGAGTCAAAGATGATTCTTGTTAAGTGGCCTGCAGTGAATTGGCCTGGAGCCAATGGAAATAAATCTTCATAAAGGCCCCTCAAAGCAACAGTTGTTATTGAAATCACAATTATATACCTGAAGAATGAATTTTTTTAAAGAAAACAAAAAACCCTGCCCTAATGTGTACAAATGGTATTTTGCATTATAGAATTTCCAGTGAGACATTAGAAGGGATTCTCTGAATCTCAGATAGTTTAAGGAAAGCTGATATCCTTTGGAAAAATATTTGATTCACAAACTAGTTCCAGTGATAACAAAGATACTGATGTCAAATGCATGTGAAGATTTGCATAAACTTGTTTCATAAAATGTGAGAGTAGAAACATATTTCTAAACTAATATTTTATATAACACAGTTTAAATGTATGTTTATTATATGTCACACATATGAAATATAAGTAGATGTTTGACTTTATCATCTATCTGGCAGACTGCTGATTTCTGATCCAATATCAAATCTCTCCTTCTTCCTTAAGGAATCCCAATTTTATTTGGGACAGCAATGTGCTCAGCTAAACATTTGCAGTTCCTAGCAGTCTCTGTGGTATGTGGTCCTGAGATGTAAGCAGAGTCTGGTCATGAGATATAATGTGTTGTGCGGATCTTCAGAAAACTCTGTAAATTAAGGAGGTCCCTTGCAGGACATATGGAAGATTCCTGTCATTATCCCTAGTCCATGGTGAGGATGTCAACACTATATACTAAGCCCAGAGCTCTCTCTTGAGACTCAAAGTGAGATAATATATTGAACTATCTAGGATATTTCCACTTGTATGCACCTCAAATTCAGCATGACTGAAACTGAATTCATTCTCATTATATACTCTTTTCCACTTTCTGTGTATTTAAATTTGCCACTCTAATCAACCAAATCAAAAACTTGGTCATCCTACATGTTGCCCTTTGCCTAACTCTCAATTATCTTATCAGTCCTTGAGTACTACGTTTCTCATAAACGTTTCTCCAGGCCATCCCGGTGCCCCTGTCTTAACTCAGGGTATCACCATATACTGTCTGGAGGATAACAGTTTCCAATTTGTTCTCACTACTTCCAGACTCAGTCCTAATAATCTACCTTCCATACTTCTGCCAGGTGATCTCAGTACTTTAAATTTTACTGTCTTGCTGAAAACCTTTCAGCAACTCCTCAGCAGCTAGATAAAGTCTAAACTCCTTTGTATGGCACATAAAGTCTTATACAATATCGTCCCACCCATCTGTCTAAAATAATCCCACTTTGTCTACCTGACAAGCTCCTACTCATCTTTCAGGCCCTAGCTCAAGTGCCCTGTCTTTTGGAAACCCTCCTTTAACCACCTCAGTCAAAAATGACCACTTTCTCTTTTGTGCCACTACAGTACCTTGTGCATGTTATGTTTTATATCACTTCTCATTCTGCAATGCAATTTTTGGTCTGTTTCCTTCTCTTTAACTGTGTATTGTTCATCTATACAGACTTAGGAACTAAAGAAATATTTGCTGGATGAATATTTCCTTCCTTCCTTCCATCCACTTACTACCTCACAAATAAATTTTGGAACATAATTTGTTTTTTTTTTTTTTTTTTTTTTTTATAAATTTATTTATTTATTTTTGGCTGTGTTGGGTCTTCGTTTCTGTGCGAGGGTTTTCTCTAGTTGTGGCAAGTGGGGGCCACTCTTCATCGCGGTGCGCGGGCCTCTCACTGTCGCGGCCTCTCTTGTTGCAGAGCACAGGCTCCAGACGCACAGGCTCAGTAGTTGTGGCTCACGGGCCCAGTTGCTCCGTGGCATGTGGGATCTTCCCAGACCAGGGCTCGAACCTGTATCCCCTGCATTGGCAGGCAGATTCTCAACCACTGCGCCATCAGGGAAGCCCCATAATTTGTTTTTAAGTTGAAAGGGAAAATTCATAATCTGTAATCCTAGTTTAAGCAGTACCCTTTGTTCAGTTATAGTTTTTGTAGTAGAAATGACATGGAAGTTGGAGTCAAAGGCCTGGGTTTTGCCATTTGCTGGGCAAGCTTGCACAAATTATTTAACCATTCTGAGCTTCAGTTTCCTCAGCTGTAAAACGGGGGTCAAAACACCAAATTTACCAGATTGTTGTAAAGATTCGTGATAAATGGATAAAAAGTGCTGAAAGCTAAATCTAGCACACAGGAGTCACTACTGCTTTGGGAAAACACTTTGTAAAGTAGTAAACAAATGTTAATAACAATAACAGCACTTATTATGAGCCAGGCATTTTGCTAAATATTTTATATGATTCATTTAATCTTCATAACAATCCCATTAGATATTCAGCATTATTTTCATTTTCAAAAAGACAAGCACTGTGATCATTTTGCAGAAGTAAACAGAGGCTGAAGAAGGTTAAGTAACTTGCCCAATGTCATAGAGCCAGCAAGTGGCAAGAGTTGGAATTTGAACAGAGACAGCTAACTTGAGGCCAAATGAGCAGGGGATCCAGGTTTTGTAGGGCTCTAAGCATAAATGATTTTAGGGAGTCTAAGAATACAAAATATCTACTTTTGAAAAACTCCAAAAACATGTGAACATACTGCTGGAGTATCTCTGAGTTCCTTGGAAGGGGATTCTCTAAGTGAGGAGCTTTAGCTAGTGAGGGGTCCTGAAGATTCATTAGCTTCAAAGTAAATCTCCTTCTGGGCCATGCTCTTAGCCACAGTGCTTTATTTCCTCCAAATTAGTTACATGAGTAAAAATAATGATTGTATGAATACAGTTCTTTAAATTGAAATATGGGAATAATACTGTCTACCTCACAGGAAAAAATTAGGATAAATAAACATGAAGATATTGAAAATTAGTTTGAAAAAAATTGCCTGCTATTATGGAAATTTGTTGTCCTTTTATGGATGAATTTTGATTTTGTTGAAGAACTTTGTGTCTATTGAACAACCCAAATTAATTCTACACCCTTCTCTGTGAAATTTTTCTGACACCAATGACCCTCCAATTGAGTGATCTTTTGTTTTCCTTGTGCCTAGGGCACCTTATATATCCTCCAGTATAGCAATTATTTTGTCTTGTAGAGAATTCTTTACATTTCTAGCTTCCAAAACTGTACACATCACTTACAAGCTGGGATCAGGTCTCTTCATCTTTTTAATACCTCCCAGCAGGGATACAGTAAGTATCCAACAAATATTTATTGAGTAAATGGCTTCTATTAAAAATTGTACAGCACTCTAAAATTCAGCAAATTAAAATCCTGATCATCTCCTTTTAAAAAAATATTGAGAGCCAATACTGGCATAAATGAAAAATATTAAAAACTATACAAATCTTACCATGAATATTTGAGAAATGTCATTAATGCCATATCAGTGGCATATTATATTAACATTATAACACTAACTTAGGTAAAGGGAAATAGACATTTAACCAATTTACCCTCTGTTCAGGGTTGAAGAGTATTCCACCCTCAATCCTCTACCCAAAATTCATGTCCTTCTTGGAACCTCAGAAAGTGACCTTAGTTGGAAACAGGGTTGTTGCAGATAAAATTAGTTAAAATGAGGTTATACTGGAGTAGGGTGGGCTCTTAATTCGATATGACTGGTGTTGTTATAAAAAGAGAAGAGACACAGTCATGGACACATGATGAGAGCTACGTGACTTTGACAGAGGTAGAGATTCAAGTTCTGCAGCTGCAAGCCAAAGAGTGCCAAGGACTGCTGGCAACCATGAGAAGCTAGGAAGAGGTAAGGAAGGATTTGTCCCTATAGATTTCAGAGAGAGCATAACCCTGCTGACACCCTGATTTTGGACTTCTAGCCTCCAAAACTGTAAGACAATACATTTCTGTTGTTTTAAGCCACCCAGTTTGTGGTATTTTGCTACAGCAGCCCTGGGAAACTAATTTCCCTCACAGTAAATATTTTGGTTTCTTAACTAGGCTAATATTTTCTTCACTGCACTATCATTCTGTATGAGATGATCTGATTTTTTTATTTGTTGGCAGTTTTGCCATGGGTCTGTAAGATCCTTCAAAGCCAGGCTCCTGTCTGTCTTGTTCCTTCTAGCAACCCCACCACTTGACAGAATTCCTAGCACATGGTAGCTCTCAGGAAGTGTTTGTGAATGAGTAAATAAACTATGTCAACTATGCTACAGTCAATGCCTGAAGGGCATGAATGGCAAAAATAATATCCCAAACCATAACAGTATTTTCCATTTAATTGAGGATTAAAAAACTTCAGGATTTTAAATAACGTGAATGAAATTTAACAAACACACCAGAATTTGCACCTTCAAATGAGTTTTTCCCTTTTCAAAGCAGCTACCTCTACCAGCTAAAGACTTATTCCAATAACTCTGCCACTGCTTAAGACTTTTTCTGGAATTCTTCATTGGAACTGCTAATAGAGCCTGTACTCACAGGGTAGACTTGATTTCGAGAAACAACCAGAAGTACTTTGAAGCTAACCCTAGTAAATAAAGCTGGTGATAAAGCTGGATAATATTAGTTGTACCTACTAAAAGACCCAATTTTCTAGTGAGAGATTGACTTTTCAAAATGGAAAAGTTCTATATGGCAGGATACTGAAGATGAGCTAATTTATGGTGATACGAAATGTAAAAGTTCCTCTTAAAACTGACCATTTGAACCTTTTTATTATTCTCAAACTCCAAGAAAACGACGTCACTGAGTAATGGCGTCTTCCCAAGAATTTATGCCGAAGTGGGAAAAAATGTAAAATCAGCAGTGGTCCAAGGAACTCTCCAACCCCCATACCAACCATAACGAAATCATCCTTCCGATAAACCTGAAACGTCTGGTCAAACCCGAACGCCTGCACCTTGATTCTACCCAGCATGGACCTGGGGCAGAGAAGAGAAAGTCAACTTGGGGTAGCATCCTCTGGGGGAGCACACTCAGCCCGTCCCACCCACGAAGTCCGCCCCTCGCCCCCGTTACGGCTGCCTCCCGGTTTCACTCAGGAAGGGGCCGCCTCGCCGCCCGACCCGCGTCTCCGCAGGCGCGAAGACCGAGGGGCTCTTCTCTTCCTGCCCCTCAGCCTCTCACCACTGGCGGAGCCGGCTGGTGGTCTCCGGCGTGCTCAGAGACTTGAAGGTTTTCTGAGGCAGGAATCTGAAGTAGTAGCCGCCCAAAGGCCCCAGCTCCCCAGCCGCCATCTCTGTCCTGGCTGCGCGGAGCGACGGTCGTTTCCATAGCAACGCGGGGCGGTTTCCATAGCAACGCGGCGGCCGTCGGGTGGGCCCGACGCTTCGGGGGCGGGGCCACGGGTCTACCTAGGCCGAGGAGACCCGCCTCCCGGCCCGGCTGCAGCTAGTGGAGGAAGAATCCCCCTTGGGGTTTCGGGGCGCCGCTACCGCAGCTTCTCCCTAGCTTACCGTCACTTTCGCTCCTTCACGCCGTGTTAGCGGTGCTGGAAACTAGGGGTCGGGGGCGGAGAAAAATTGCCAGTACATACTTGTTGAAATTAACTCGATAATAATTACGCCGCGTGGGTTAATTTCTTAGTCGCAAACGGTGTAATCTTAGATTTATAGCTATCTAAATTTAGTGACTCAAACATTTCTGAATATAAAGTTATTCTGAATTAATTAGGTTAATTAATTAGGTTTAACTATCATGACTACTTGGGAAACTATTCTTTTACCATCCGGCTTTTTTTTTTTTCTTCAAAAGTTACATCTGAAGGCTAAAGTAATTTTCCATATACACTACAGTACAACGTGCTGTTTAATAGAAACACGTATTTCTTATTTCCTATTGAAAATGACCTTTCGTATCTATAGTTTTGTTGTCGTTTTGTTTTGTCTAATAGCTGTGTATCTGAGCTTCAGAAGGGGGAGAGAGGGATGTCGTTCTTTTCCACCTCCTTGCTAACTCCCTCTCCTTTTCCCCTAGTCCTCCAAAAACTGATCTTGATTACTCCATATTCAGCCAACAGCAGTAGGAGAAAGAGGGAGGGAAACGCACACACACAGAATATTCGTTTTCGTTGTTGATTTTATTTTTTCATCAAGTCTTGGTCTTCTAAGTAGATTTAGTCCTTTTATGTTATGGACATGGTTGGGTTTAAGCTTACCATCTTGTTTGTTGTTTTCTAATTCTGTTCTTTTTTCCTTTAATCCAAAAGTAGGCAAGAAAGAAGGAGTAATAGAGTATTTTTATTATTCAATTTTTCTCCTTTTTAGCTTTTTAGTTATACATTTTAGTATAATTTTTATTGGTTACTCAAGATAAAATATGACTCCTTGATTTATTACATAGCACCTTAACCCATCACTTACACTATGTTTCAAACAAGAACCTTACAACAGGTAAAATATATTTATTCACTTTTCACCTTTCGGGTTTTTTTGGTCAATATTTTACTTCTACATAGGTCCAAAATACATTATTTTGTTACTGCTATTTTAAACAGCCAGTAATATTTCATATTTGCTAGTATATTTACCCTTTACATTTTTCTTATTCCTTCCAGCAGTTCTGAATTTATAATCTGGGATTATTTTCATTGAGTTTGAACATCTTCTGTTGGTATTTCCTATAATTCAGGTCTTCTGATGAGTAAGTTTCTCAGAGTTTGTTGTCTGAAAATGTCCTTATCGTCATTTTTTTTTTTTTTTTTTTTTCGGTGCACAGGCCTCTCACTGTTGTGGCCTCTCCCGTTGCGGAGCACAGGCTCCGGACGCGCAGGCTCAGCGGCCATGGCTCACGGGCCCAGCCACTCCGCGGCATGTGGGATCCCCCCGGACCGGGGCACGAACCCGCGTCCCCTGCATCGGCAGGCGGACTCTCAACCACTGCGCCACCAGGGAAGCCCTTATCGTCATTTTTAAATGATATCTTACAACAGACTGTACAGAATTGTAAGTTGACAACTTTTATCCAGCACTTTAAAAATGTATTCTGTTGTCTTCTGGATTCCAAATTTTTGTTGAAAGGTCAAACATTAGTTTTAGTGTTGCTCCGTTCAAAGTCATATGTCTTTTTTTTCTCTTCCTGCTTAAAATTTTTTTCTTTGCCTTTGGTTTCAGTAGTTTGGCAATCCTCTTCCATCTGTCATGTGTGTGTGTGTATGTGTGTGTATTCTTGTGTATGTGTGCTTTTGTGTGTGTCTTCTGTTTTCATCCGTCTGGCATTTGCTGAGCTTCTTGAATTCTTTCACTGATGCCTTTTAACCAGTTTTTAAAAACTCAGCTATTATCTCTTCAAATATTTCTTCCACTTCGTTCTCACTCTTCTCTTTTTCTTGGACTCCAATTACATGTATATTAGAACTTTTAACTATTTCCCATATTTCTCTGTTATATCTTTTTCAATTCTTTGTTTCTTCTTGTGCTTCATCTTTTCCATTCTTTATTGACCTGACTTTGAATTCACTAATCTTTTCTGCTTAACTCTTAATTTCAGATATTTTATTTTTTAGTTCTTGAATGTCCATCTTAATCTTGTTTAATATATTCTAATTAAATCTCCATTTTTTCATTCATTTAGTATACATTTTTCTTTATTTAACAGGTTAAAGTTATTTTTAAATCTTTGAGAGCTTCAATAGGAGAATTATTTTTGGATCTGCTTCTTTTCCATGTTTATTTCTTGATTATAAATCATGCTTCTCTGCCTTCTCACACATTTAACAACTTTTTGTTTTAAGTACAACATTGTGTGTTTGAAAAGTGTAAGAGATTCAGAAGACATTATCTTCCACTGGAAAGTATTCACTATTTAAAGGTGAATAGCCAACAACTTTAATACAATCAGGGATTCAATGGGTCAAGGCTGAGTTTTAGTTTTAGTAGGACTGAACCGCAGTCCATCTCTTTTCTCCTATACGTTGAGCAGGCCTGACTGAAACTCTAACAGATCTCTATCTTCTTGGCCCCCAAAGATGAGAAACTTCAGGTTTTCCTTTCAGAAGTGCTGAGCTTGCTCTTTAGCTTCCCACATCCTACAGCATTGAAATCTAGCAAATGTCTTAATGGGGAGACTGAATGTGTGTTTGAGGCAGGCCCCAACCTTCCAGGAGGACTTTGTTTTCTAAGCACCATGACATTATGGAAGATCTCACTCTGTGTTTTAGAAGCCTCTGCAGAGCAACTCAGCATCCTACATGTAGTCCCCAAACTCAGCAAATTTTCTTTGGAAGTGTAGCCACGTTTGACCCTTCAGATTTCCTTGCATGACCACCAAAATTCATTCAATCTTTACTTTGCATATCAGCCAGTAAATGACACTATTGAAAGAAAGGTCTTGTAAACATCAGCTCATCTTGGAAGGATTTTCTGAGGGAAGTATTAGAATGTAGATTCCTTGATTTCAGAGATGGAGACAGAGATTTCAGAGACCAGAGATTAAGATTCCACAGGTCTTGGATGGTGCCTAGGAACTTGTATTTTTAATATGCTCTTTAGATGAATTCGATGCAGGTTTTCTACACTATTCATTGAGAAAAACTTTCCCACACTTTCTTTACAATTTATCTTAAATCCCATCTCATGAAGAAATTTATTCCAATACTTCTGTCTGACTTCGTATACATTTAGTTTTTGTTAGACAATCAAATATTTGGTCATATACTATACTGTACTTTTATTTTTCTGATTTTTTGTGAACATCTTTCCAAGTAGATTACATACTGTTCAACATGGGGGAATTTGCTTGACATTTTATAAAAACATTTTCCACATGACCTAAGCACATAGTATTTGTTTAGTTAATTTTTTCCTAGGTTTTTCTGGTTTTATTGTGGTATAACCAACATACAATAAACTGCACATATTTAAAGTATACAATGTCATGAGATTTGCTATATGTGATCTTTGTGGGGTTTTTTTTCTTATTAGTCATAAATTTTATACACATCAGTGTATACATGTCAATCCCAATCACCCAATTCACCAACCCCACCCCCCACTGCTTTCCCCCCTTGGTGTCCATACATTTGTTCTCTACATCTGTGTCTCAATTTCTGCCTTGCAAACTGGTTCATCTGTACCATTTTCTAGGTTCCACATATATGCATTAATATATGATTTTTTTTTTCTCTTTCTGACTTACTTCACTCTGTATGACAGTCTCTAGGTCCATACACATCTCTACAAATGACCCAATTTCGTTCCTTTTTATGGCTGAGTAACATTCCATTGTATATATGTACAACATCTTCTTTATACATTCATCTGTCGATGGGCATTTAGGTTGCTTCCATGACCTGGCTATTGTAAATAATGCTACAATGAACATTGGGTGCATGTGTCATTTTGAATTATGGTTTTCTCTGGGTATATGCCCAGTAGTGGGATTGCTGGGTCATATGTTAATTCTATTTTTAGTTTTTTAAGGAACCTCCATAATGTTCCTTAAATTTAAAAAAAAATCCCCCATTAAAAATAAAGATATAATTATACTTATTTTGGACTTAGGATGCTAATTTAAATTAGGAATTTTTTGCTTATGTTTTGCATTACTCAAAAGTAATCATTTTTATTGCGTTGTTGATGAAATTCATCCTCTTTTTTTCAACCCTATAATCAGTGATTATACTTTGACTATATAGTCTTAAGTTCAATATTTACTTGGAAATTGATAGTTTTCTAGTTGTTATTTGTCACTCAAATATGCATGATTGGTATATGTTCGATACAACCTTTATTAATTCAGTCCTGACAATAGTTTTTTATTTTTATCTCCCAATTATCTTTTAAGTTTTTCTTTTTTAAAAAAAATTGCATAAGTAACACATGTTTAACACAGGAAAGAAACAAGTAAGCAAAAAGAATAAAAATACCCATAATCCCAGGACTATGATTTTTCAACTTCTTGGAGCAAAGAAGAACATTTTCCATAGGGAGATTTTCCAGAAAAAAGATGTTTCAGTCTAACTTTCATTGACTCACACTTTAAGGAGTCTTGGCCGGACAAGTATATGTGGAAAAAAACCCTCCCACATTTACAAAACAGTTCTCATATTGTGTTTAATTTTATGTATGTTTATGGTTTTTTTAATCTTTATTTTTATGGTCAGTTTCAGTATTTTCACAGTACAGTATTGTTATTGATCAGGGTCCTTGGACTCTTTTATTAAAAAATTAATTAATTAATTTTTGGCTGTGTTGGGTCTTTGTTGCTGTGCGTGGACTTCCTCTAGTTGTGGCGAGCAGGA